AAGAGAGAGAGAGAGAGAGAGAGAGAGAGAGAGAGGGAAATACACGAGGCCTCGAGCATAAAGCTACTTTGGTAATCAATCATTCTCTCGTGCAGACTTACCCATTTTTCGGCGTGCAGCCGGAACTTCTGGACGAGGATGGTCACGTAATTGAGGGTGAGGGCGAGGGTTATCTTGTGTTCCGAAGACCCTGGCCCGGTATGATGAGGACACTCTATGGAAATCACGACCGCTTTCAAAGTACCTACTTTAATAGGTTTCATGGATGCTACTGTACGGGTGATGGTGTGTCTTTTGTATATATTATTTTTATTATATCAAATGTATATTATATCCAAATGTCGGTATCTCTGATTATATTCGTAATTCTAAAAATACATAAAGCGTTAATTTTCAAGAGATTTTAAATTACGCTATATAAAAAATATAATTTACTTACCTTTATCATTAAATTAACTATATATGATGCGATGGGAGAAAATTAGGGTTAAAAATTTTAAAACCTATATTGCTTGACGAGCAATAAAATCTAACCGACTTAGTAAGTTTTATTATTGATTCCCGGGGATAGAATTCGATAGAATAAGGAAATAGAATCTTGAATAAATTATTTTCAAAAAAAAAAAAAAAAAATCATTATTCCTAGATACGACAGTATTATCATTCATAATAGGATCAATTATTATTTGTTTATTGTTTTAATGTGATATTTAAGAAATAGAATATATGCTAATAAAGATAATGGGAGTTAATAATGAAATACCTTGTTTATTTGCTAAATGGATTCCGGTATTTTTCACCAGCATATTTCGCTTCTTTTCCCAATTCCTCTTCGATTCTTAAAATCTGATTGTACTTCGCCACTCTTTCACTTCGACAAGGAGCTCCAGTTTTGAATTGTCCACACGAAGTACCAACCGCAAAATCGGCAATAAAAGTATCTTCGGTTTCACCCTGACCTATAAAATTCTCAAAATATTCATAGATTCTAATCGAATAATAATAAGGAGAATTTTAATAACTAATATAGAAGATAATTTATATAAGATAATTTATACATTTCAATTTATACACGTCGATTTACTTACTTAAAGTTAAAATAATAAACTAAAATGAAATAAATATAGTCGTATTACTATTACTTTTGTATTTTATAATAAAACCTTTTGAAAAATATTTATTTTAATTAATATTATCAAGTAATAGTATTGATATTATTCGTATATTATCAAGCAATCACAAATTCATGTATAAAATTGTAAAAAAAAAATGCATTGTTATGCATTTATGCAGCATGTAAATGTTACAACATCGCTAGCATAGCTATGATTTATTATAGATTGTAACTGTATATCACTGGGTTAATAAGAACCTTAAAAGTACCATAGAAATCACGCGTGAAGTGAATTTTAAAAAAGAGAAAAAAAGGGAAAAAAAAGGGGAAAAAAGGGAAAAAAAAGGGAAAAAAAGAAAAAAAAGAAGAAAAAAAGAAAAAAAAGAACGTAAAACAATAAAATTCCGTAAACCTAGAAATGTCGCGTGAGTACAGCTATTACACGAGCCAATAATAATATTTATTGATTTGTCGATTAATCAAGTTGCGGAGCGCGAGAGAAAATACAGAAACTTCAGTTTGACATAAGGAATGTCGCTTATTAATAAAAGAATGAAAAAACATAAATGATGCAATGGAAAACCTGCACTGACGATGCAGCCCCAACCGGCGTCCCTTGCCTGTTTCACGCAGTCAATGGCTTCTGTAACACTGCCTATGTGACTCAACCTAATAACAAAACTATTGGCTGCCTGTTGCTCGATCGCCTTGTCGAGTCGTTCGGCATTCGTAGCCGTGAGCTCATCGGCGACTATCTGGATGTCCGGTAGAGCGGTCACGAGGTTAGTCCAGTCGTCCCAATTGTCTAGACCGAACGGATCCTCAATGGAAACGAGAGCCGGGAAGTCGGGGAAAAGTTGCTTATACTGCTCTTGGAGATCATTTGGCTCCAAATAATCCTCCGGGTTCGAGTCCTCGCTCTTATACTGGAGGTCGTATTTGCCTGCGCGATGCAAAAAAAATCAATAGATTACCAGGCCACAGGATTTGGCTCTCGGGCTCTTTCCTTCACTTTCTTACGCTCACTTACATCGACTAGCAGCTCATAACGCAACTTAATCAAAGGTTAACAAAAAACGTATACTCAAAAAAACGTTTATTCCTGACCGTTCACTTAGTACTTTTTAATAGTTTTAGCGAATGACACGAAGGATATAGTTGATTAGTGGGATCGATTGGCTAAGCTGCAAATATCATAACTAACGACAAGCGAACGAACTTACTCACCATCTTTGAAGAATGTCGAAGCTCCAATATCGACAGCAATTTTAACTTTGCCCTCGTAGCCTTTATTTTTAATAGCCGTATCGATTGTCGCCAGCGCCTCCTTATTGTCATCGAATTGCGGAGCGAAAGTACCCTCGTTTAATACCGTTAGTGGCAGTTTTGCTTCTTGGATTTTGGCAAGCTGCTCCTCGATTTCGCGATATATGTCTATGCCCATTTTCATGGCTTCTGCGAACGTTGTGGCACCTGCTCACGCAATTTACACATGTCATTCATTACAGCTCGTATCTCAATAATTTTTAAAATTATTTATATTTGTTTTTTAATTTTCACGCGCCAATAGTAAATACTAGTGTCTCAAGGCATCCTTACATAATCTTATCTTTCCTAAGAGCTTTGAAATTTAAAATATATATATATATATATGTGTGTGTGTGTGTGTGTGCGTGTGTGCGTGTGCGTGTCAATCGGTGTGTCGCTATAACGGAGAAAAGATTTTATTTGCATAAATGTGACTCTATTCGAGAAAATGTAATTTCATTCCTTTCATCCTTGAAGCAGAATTTCAATTTAATAGATTAAGATGAACGGCAATTCGGGACTTTAGAATGTATCTTATTTCGAATCATTTAGTTGAAAAATAATTTCAATTAAATAAAAAGCATTTGAATTCAAAAATATGTCGAATGTCTAAATGTCGAATTACAATTACTGACGTAAAATATGGATAAAACAGCTTTTTAATCAATGGCAATGTAAAATTTAACGAAACCAAGTCCTGTGAATATCGTTTAAATTTTTTACTTTAAAATGATATTAAAACGATGGATATTCCATTATTCGACTTGAGCTTTAATGCTCGAGTGTCTCGTATTACTAATGAGGGAAAATAACATGTTCAATGTAGCAATTACACATACCAGTGGGTAAAATAAGAAACGCTTCGTAAGCTAAATTATTTCCAGCTGCTCGACCTCCACTGAAAATCTTAAAAATTGGCACGGGCAAATAAATTTTTTCGTTGCCGCATAAACTGGCGATGTACCTAAACCAAGATAGATCGTGAGCAACTTTATTAATAAATAAACTTTACATTCATAAATTATAATAATATTGGATTAAGAAGTCGGAGATTTTACACAGGCAAAGCGAGAGACAGACGGAGGAAATGATAATTCAAAAGTTTTTCTTATACCATGGATATAAGAAATATAACATTTATAAAGGAAAAAAACAAAAAACTTGCTTCTTAAATACCCAGTAAAACCATTAAAATAATGCGTAATAACCTGTAAAGAGGTAAGCCTCTCTTGGCTGCAGAGGCCTTGCAACAGGCAATGGAAACGCCGAGAATTGCATTAGCTCCGAGTTTCGACTTGTTTGGGGTTCCATCCAAAGTTTGCATAAGCAAGTCGATCTCGCGCTGCTGGTTCACTTCCAACTTTGATTTTAGAATTTCAGGCGCAATTCGATTATTGATCGTTTCGATAACTATTTTATCAATGAACATACAATTTTCTCATTAGACGTACGAATCCACTTTCGCGTAGTACATTAACACTCGTGGCTAATGCATTTTCCCCGTATTAATAGTCTTAATACGTTAAAACAAAACAAAAAAACAAAAAAAAACAAAAACGAAAAAAACAAAAAAAAAAACAAAAAAAAAACAAAAAAAAAACAAAAAAAAAACAAAAAAAAAACAAAAAAAAAACAAAAAAAAAACAAAAAAAAAACAAAAACAAAAAACAAAAACAAAAACAAAAAAACAAAACAAAAAAAGAGATCAACATTTATTGCCAATTTTAGTGTAAAATATCATCGACGAATGTTGTAAAATCGAAATTGTTGCGGTAATAGATAAAACAAACAAAAAAAAAAATACAAAGGTGGTCGAGCATTTAAAATACATAACAAATCGAGAAATTTTCATTAAAAAAGAGGTATAATGAACTCGAAGCTTTTGTAATTTCAATTTCAAATAAATGAGAGAAATCCTATCAAATAATTCAATCGATCAAAAAATATCTCGCATACGTAACATTCACATTTCACGGTGGCTTGCATAGCATAGCCTTGCAGACCGTTGTTTTTCCTACTGGTAAATATCAATACTTAAGAGGGTATTATTATTCTTTTTCTTTTATTGTTTTATCGTGTGACTTAAGTGCCTACGTCGACTAAATCGACGGCATGAAAATCAGGTAATAAATAAGGTAATCGCGATAAATCTTAGGCGAAATATCTTGGAAGAAAGCAATGCTCACTCACCGCCAACTAACAAGCTCGTTCAGTCGAATCCATAACACTCGACCACTCCCATACAAACATCATAGAAAATTACCTTTGAGCACGGAGCGACCCCTGAACACCGCCTCATTTTCATCCCGAATTTCTTTCGCCTGTATGTTTGATGGAAAAATCACGCTCGGCACGCTACTACGTAGTAGTCCGACATCCGTTATTAAATCGACTTCGACTGTCGGGTCGCCGCATGCATCAAATATCTGACGGGCTTTGATCTTACGTATCGGCATACTAAGTCTCTAGGTCGCTTGCAATTTCTATTTTAATTGATTCTATCTTTATATTTGGCTTTGAGAATATTACGAATTTTGCCGAGTTTAGTTTTTTAGGTTACGAAAATTTTCTTGCTAATAAAATCTAAAAATGTCAAAGGTCTGAAGTGTGCAAATTTAGTACGCTCTTGATATAAACATCGTTCGTTTTCGAATTTATTATTCTAATGCTAAGATTATTTGAATAAATTCTATCAATATGAGTTTAAGGAAGTAGTTGCCCGTGACTTTTACTTAGCGGCTAATTCTTTTACAATGCCAACCAAGTCTTTACTTTTAACCAGACTCTTTCTTAATTGAACATGTTATAGATAATGTGGTGCAAATCTAAATTGGAAGCTTCTTTCATGATTAAATATCATGTATTATGCTTTCTTGACTAATTTGGCATTTTAATTAATCGATAAGAAGAATTTTTGACCGAGGAACCATTGACCATGACATTTTATCACCGCCTCATAAAAATTTCTTTCCTTTACATATCTTTTATATGGGATTCAATTTATGCTTTCAGGGACACTAAATTAAATTATAATAATTTTGTAATTCAATGAATGTGCATCGATAGATCTTTCAATGACCGCCGGTTAATATTTATAAACAGGAAATTGATGTTTCGAGTCTCCAAAAGGCTAAAGTAAATGAATTTAGAATACTAAGGTATTCATAGCAGAGTTTTGTGACATAAACACACAACTTTGTAGTTATTTATTGATTTATTATTTGCATGTTTTTCTGTGAAATACTATTATTATGGTAGAAATTATAATTCATTTTATATTATTATTCTTATTATTATTATTAATATTAATCAAATATCCATTAAAGACAAATACTTAATAATATTAATATATAAAGATAATAAATAGATTATTTTTTTCAATAAATCAATCATTGACTATATATATATATATATATATATATATATATATATATATATATATATATTTGTAAAGAATTTATAGTTCAAGAGATAACAGGAAGTAATCAAATATATTTTTAATAGAAATTACAATAATTACAATAACAGACTTTTACACTAATAAATTTGGGTAAATTCGAAAAATACGAATAGGTTTAAGAAGCTAACAAGGAAGAAATATTATTGATAATTACAACGATTGATTATCACAAAAGTAAATACATATAATACTTGATTCGAAAAAAAAAAAAAAGAAAAAGAAAAAAAATTACGTGGATGAATACGATGCACAAATATAAATGATAAAAATTTTAAAATTAATGTACATAAAAATCTTATCGAAAGCATTCGAGTAAAAATACGGATAACACACACGTCTTGTCGATCGTAGTAATGTACACATAATTCCCAGAATTGAAAATATAACTATTTTTCATCGATTCAATTGCACTTCCTGTCGTTATCAGCAAAGTTTTCCACAGTTTGATGTATGTAAATAACTATCATGAATTATCTGAATAATTTAATTTAATTTTTTAAAAAAAACTGACCTCTAGAACTAGGATGTACATGTGTAGGAAAATCAAGATTACGACATTGTCAACAAATTGATACAACCAACTACTGACGTTCAAGTTATTTGTTTCGTAATTTTTTTTTTCTTTTATAAATAAAAGCTACAAGTTCAGCTTCTCTATATATTACTTACAATATCTCTATTAATTTATTTTTTTCTAATTTATACTTGTCAAGTTCAATATTTTCATTAAAATACTGTATGTTGTAAGACATATTTTTTTCTGTTTTTCTTCTATATTTTTTTTGTCTATATGAAATACATTAATAATAAGTAAAAGAAGCTATTATATGAAAGTATATAAATATTGATCTCATCAATAAAATTTCGTATTTGAATATCATATTCGACATTCAAATTCAATAACAATTCAATACGTAGTTATTGCAAAGTACGAGATATTTAATAAAATTAAATATTAATGAGACTTTCGGTTACTATTTAATAATCAAATTGTCGTTTTGTTTTCTATAATGTTAATTGACAATTGCTTATTCAATAAAATCGAAATCTCATAAATATCTCTAATTAAATGTCTACAATTACTTCAAGATTACTTGGAGAGACGATAAATTAAATAAAATATATAAATTAAATCCATACCATATTGAGCACATTTATCAGCAATAGCACTCTAAAATATTTATTAAAAAATAAATCCCGACGACTATTATCTTCACTTCAATATTACAACAATACAAATTGGCAATTTTCCGAGACTATAGCAAACAATATATTAATCCGTAAACGTATTGAAACACTTTTAAAAGCACTTGATAATCAATAATTGCCAGCCAATATATTACCTGTAAAAATATTAATTTATTGTTCTCGTGCATCTCAATTATCATGCAACGTTCTTAATATCACATGACGTTTGCTTTTCAAATAGCAATTATCGAAAGTTAAATGAATATTCGAAAGGTTTCGATAGAGAAAAGTGCGGCCAATCGTTACCGCGCATTTATGTTAAATAGACGCACTATAAAACAGATTAATAGACGAAATAAATGAGTGTGGATTGAGAAAAAAAAAGCTTTGGCTGTTACTAATAGGTGCGCGACGAGACAAGGATGGCTACTTATGGGTGACAGGACGGATTGACGACATGCTCAACGTCTCCGGCCATCTAATGTCGACGGCGGAGGTCGAGAGTGTACTTGCGGAACATTCGTCGGTCGCCGAGGCAGCGGTGGTTAGTAAACCGCATCCCGTCAAAGGTCAATGCCTCTATTGCTTTATCACGCCTAATGAGGGCAAACCCTTCAACAAGCAACTTCAAGATGAGTTAAAGAAGAAAGGTATGCGAGCCCGTTTATTTCAAAACCTTTGTCAGCTTTGAGTATCCGTATTTGTAATTGCTAATATGTTTAATCGTTTCATTGTAAATATGAATTGAAAATGAGCACAATTGCGGGTGTTACGGAATTGGATATACAATGGTAGGTGGAGTGAAATCAATGAATAATACATTTCTTTTTATTTGATAGTTCGTGAGAGAATCGGTCCGTTTGCTCAACCAGACGTAATCCAGCATGCGCCTGGCCTGCCCAAGACACGCTCCGGCAAGATAATGCGACGAATACTTCGTAAAATTGCCATCGGCGACAAAAACGTCGGCGACGTATCGACATTGGCTGACGAGGGTGTCGTCGAGCTGCTATTTTCTCTTAGGCCACAGCAGGAAGTGTAAAAAGCCGAAAGTAAACGCTTAAAAATATCCCTTGTCTTCGATCGCCAGGAATATCAATAATAATGAAAGTAAGAGAGGCAGACAATATGATGTCTTATTATGAGAAATAATGATTGCGAGATAGAGATTTCTTTAATACGTTCTTGAATCTTGCGCCTAGAAGGTTTTTTAAAAGAATAGCCTATTTACGAGCAAAAGCGTAAGATGGACTTTCTCTTTGATCCTTCATATATGAAGAATGATTCAGGAAGTGGCAGCGGGTGCTTTACAAAACTTGCCGTGACATTAAGAAAAGAAGAGGGTATTGCCAATTAGTTTTAAGTGTGAATGAAGCTTCTTCCTTTATTCCAATTATCGGAGAAAGTTTCAAAGAGAAATGTTAGAAATGGCAAAATCCAAGCAATACGATCCCTGATATCGAGCTTTATCGCTCCCAAGTTTCAGGAAGAAAACTTTGAAACTAAGCGATCGTAGGAAAAGCACGAAAAATAGAATATTAAATTTATTATAAAAATAATGGAAAATGAAAAAAGAAAGAAAGAAAGAAAAGAAAATAGTTTAATGCGATAAGAAGACAGTGTCAATGATTTCTATCGCTATAGTACATACACTTTTGCTTGTAAGCAAATCGTTCTAAGATGTACATGAGTGGACAGCGGCGAAAAAAAATTCCTAAATGCGCTGATAAAAAGTTAATGATCAACTGCCGCGACTCCATATACAATGAAAGTATGAAAAAATAAAAGTAATTTAATGAACAAAATAAGAAAAATCGGACAAAGTAAGCGTGTATTCGCTATCGACCACCCACACATCCATAATTCTTATTTGTAAAAAGTCATTTAAGCATTAGGATTTCTCTTTTATTACCTTTTTTTCTTTTAAATAACACATTTTATTTTTTTTTCTATTACTTTGGAATACATTAAGAAAATTCAAATCATCTACCAATTGAATAAAATATAATCAACTTCATTGCTCTTCTTTATATATATATATATATATATATATATATATATATATATATATTTACTATTTTTATTATTGTTCTAAATTCATTGTAAAAGTATTATTTATTAGATGTTGAAAAGTTAAATTTTCAACAACAATAGACGGGAATTTATACTTATATATACTCACTCGGAATTTTTCAATATCCTAGGTCTTTAACATCATGATCTCAAGATGTATAAAATAAAAAATAAAAAATAAAAAAAAAGAAAAAAGGAAGAGAAAAAGGAAAAAAAGAAACATGCGATATTGATAATATTACCACTCAATCGATGTGCTTTCTTTGTATTTCTTTTTATATAGATAAACGTTCTATTTTCATTTTATTTTTCGTTATTATTATCAATGTAATCTCGGAGAAATAAATTAAACTATACAAAATCAGAGTTTTTGTGCATTTTTAGGAGTCTTCCGAGAAATTACGAGTCGTTTTAAAAAGCGCACCGAGAAAATCTAAGATTATCCAACGGTATACCACTTCATCGATTGCTTCGAAATATTTTCCTATGAAATGAATCATTCAATTGACAGTTAAATTCTCAAAAACAAACGTTTCTAATCAGAGAAAAATCTACTCCCTTTTAAAATAATCAACATTATTGTGATAAAATTGTACATTGTGTATAAATTATTTTAGATTAATGTAAGTAAGATCCTTACAAATAAGATAATCTCGCTTAAACGATAAACGAATTTAGGTATTACCGAGGGTGAAACATACCAAACAGTTACCATGAAAAGTAATGCGACTTTAATTAAAATCAAATTTCAGCAAGCGTCGATAAGGTAGGATAACGTTGTACATTTTTAATTAAAGTGAAAAAACCTATAATTATAAAAATCCATTTTAGTGTAAACGAAGAAGCAGCACGAATTC